ATAGTGCTCCTGATCATTACCTGGAGAATTCTTTTCCTTTCCTCCATGACCCAAAAGTAAGGGTAAGATTAAGTTCGCTATCGATGTTGTAGTTGGCTGACATGCAATTCTAGCCTTATACTGTGAAGAAAGATCACATGGCTAAGTTGTCCAGTGGAATGGACAACTGAAGGCAAAATAGGGGTTTCAATCTTTTGTTTTCTACAGTTACACCTGGCTGGAGGCAGGTTATTGAGGAATTAAAATAACTCCAATTTATTTGTATTGGCAAAGGGGTTGAAAAAGTGTTTTGATATTTCATATATTTTCTATCGAAATGGCATCATCTCCACCCTCGCTGGATGAGGAAGATTCAAGCTCTGATCAATTGACAAAATCCTGAGGTTGATTGTGAATTATCACCTACCGTGTTTGGTAGCCAGTACTAAATTGATGATTTTTTGCATTTTTGTCTGGCACTGTCAGTCTGGTTTGAACATTTTTAAGTGTGGTGATGGGTTTCCACATATGGCAGGCACCCGGTTAACTAGAAAAAAAAGAAAATTTGTATTATTATTATAACAATTTTATGAGCCATCTCTTGGCTGCTGTGATCAATGATGGTTGTATTTATAGAAAACTGAGTGCAATTCATTCTCTCTCTATGGCTGGGACAAGTCAGACTTTCATCCTTTGTGGTCACATGGAAGAACAAATTCTTCCCTTACTATGTCAGCATTGAGCAATTGTACTGTAACAGTAGAGTAAATGAGTAACAGTAAATGATGCACTTTGGAGTAAAAGTGTTTTGATAAACGGAGATGTATTCTTGATGGAATGGTGCAGCAGGGGTTAACCAAAACACATCTAGAGTTGGGAGGGAATTTGAAAATTAAAGAAAAGCGCAAATATAGTGAAACCACTCTTTGTTGACTGCCCAGCAGGCTTTTCCATGGTACCGATAAACTAGTGCAAATAAACTCGATCATTTAAATCAAGCATGGCTACTGCACTCCCAATAGTACAGGTCAAATGGCACCCCTAGTGGAAAAGTGATCCAGAAACAGAGATACAGGCTATTTTTAGAGTAAAAGTAAACATGTAATTGAAACTGACATCTCATTTGTGTATAATATGTTCTTGTAAAATAATCTTGTAAATCTTCAGGCCTGGTTTTAGCCTTGGGTTTTGTTAAAACAAAATTGTGCCTGTTTGATGCGATTAGAGTCTCAGTGAAGAACATCTGCTGGACCACACATGGCAGTCGTGCTATATGAATTTGAAGCTCACACCCTGCTCGTAAGACATGACCAGGTGTTTTGAAGTGTTAACTTACATGCCAGAGGCAGTCTGATCATATTTGTTGCAAGCTACTGTTTTTTTAAAAAAACAAGGATTTAAGGTAAATATTTATCATTCAAATTTTTTTTGCAAAGTGTGCTGATATTTTACCATTTAGAGTGATTGTGTGAGAAACAATAAACAGGCCAGTGACCCTGATTGGATCCCATGTCTCAGGCAGGAAGAGGGCTTGAATTTCTAATGGAGAAGCAAAGGTTGTGGAGCTGTGAAATAAGGAGATGACCTCTTAAATAGAAGATCAATAAACCTCTTCTCAGCTGGACACGTCAAGCATTTAAATTATTCTCCATGGCTATCTGTCACTCTCTGGGAAGGTTAAAATTTAAGAGATCAGTTTCTGTTTGATATGTTCCAGTGAAACAGCTAAGTGTAACAATTGGATTTAAACTGAAGATCTAGAAAAAGATAAGTAAAGAGCAAATCCTGGCTGTGACCTCATTACTCAGTTCTGATGATGATCTCAGCTTCGATAGTGATCTCAGCCCCAAATTCAGCTTTCTAGCAGAGTTCCAGTCATCCAAGAAAACTTCCAGGAATTGCTTTTTACAAATACTTTTGCAATTTGGACTCACAAAGTCTATCCACTATAAACCTTTGGGAGTTTAAATTCATGAATGTAAGAAAATGTGAAGCTATCTTACATGGTACCCACCAGGGTCTCTTTCATTTTGACGACGCTTCAACGTCGTCAAAAGACCTTGGCATTCAATCCAGCTCATGGATCCAGTTTGTAATCTTGGTATTTCATTCACTCTACACTATATATCAAAAGCTATATCTGGTCTTTCACAAGACCATTTTACTCCCTCTTTGAAATATCGCCCACTCTATCCCTATCTTACCTGTAATAGAACCAAAGCCCTCATCTTCACCATCTCAAAAACTTGACATCTAAACTGTTCTTTTATTTTGCATCCAGAGCTTTAGGTTCCAAATGCCTACAACCCATCCAGCACTTTATAACTTACATCTTCTCCTGCAAAGTGATTGTGTGGGAAAAAATAAACAGGCCGATGACCGCCAATGGATCCCATATCTCAGGCAGAAAGAGGGCTTGAGTTTCTAATGAAGAGTGCAGCCAGCACAATGCTGGCAGCAAAGGTTGTGGAGCTGTGAAATAAGGAGATGATCGATTTCCTAAATAGAAGATCAATAAACCCCTTCCCAGCTGGACAGTCAAGCATTTAATTAGGATCCATATGTCTATTACTACCAGGCTAGACTAGCTCTCTTTCCTCCAGGAAATTGATTTAACATCCTCATTTTGACCTGCAATTAGCTTGTGGCCTTGTTCACCTTCAACCTGCACATTCCTTTCACTCTGCAAACCTGAGTGCTGTGTACTCATTGTCCACGTTAATTGCCCATTGCCCACTCTGCCCAACATAAAAATCTTCCCTCTAACATGCCTGAAAAGAGATTGTGTTGGAGTGGAGGTCCTGTGGTTAAACATGAAGTACATCTGATTACTAGTGGGTTTCATGTTTATAAATTATGTGCAATCTCCACTGTGAATCCCATGTAATTGATTTCCAATATTTTCTATTTGCATAGCAAGGTAAGGAATACCATCGCTGTGGGTAGAACACTTGACTCCCTTCTCACCTTGGGTTACAACATCATGCACTCCAAGATCAACTGTGGTAAAGGCAAACAAATGCAGTAAATTTCCCATTTATTTCCCAAATACTCTACAATCTGCCTTTGATTCAATTAAATGCAGTAATCAGGGGCATCTAAATCCGTTTGAACATTGTTAACCTGCAGGTTATTAATTAATTTGTAGAATCTTAATGTATTCTAATGAAGAGCATGCTAGGTACATCTGTGTAACATTTCTTCAAGCCAACTATCCTCATTGTGTATCTGCAGGGAAGTTAACCACTTTATTCTTCTCCACCACCTTTCCTTTCAACTCCACCTTCACGGTTCTGTCTAGCCTGGTTTCAATGTTATGCTTACCCATCATCTCCACTTTGTCTTTGCAAATGAGTTCTCCTACAGCCCCTGCATTTACATGCGGCATTCCTCAGGGCTCTGTCTTTGGTCCTTTCCTCTTTAATATTTACATGCTCCCGCCTAGGTGATACCATCTGCAGCCATGGGATCAACTCTACATGTATGCAGATTACACCCACCTCTATCTCTTTGCCTCCACCCTAGATTCCCTCTTGAATCCAATCCCCAGCTCGGGTGCAAATTCTTGACTGTCCAGTGCATTAGGTCATCATCCCAATGTGAAGTACGCTATATAATTGCAATTTGTTGTTGTTGCTGAAGTTGCCAATTTAGGCAGCATTGTGATTACATTTAATAATAATAATAATAATCCTTGCATTTGATATAGCGCTTTTCACGTCGGGAGGACGTCCCAAAGCGCTTCACAGAACACACTGTAAAGTGAATTGACTGTGTATTTGTGGGCGAACGCGGCAGCCAATTGCGCACAGCAATGTCCCACAAACAGTCGTAGATTGAAAATGACCAATTTATTATTGTTTTGGGTTTTGGAGGGATTATTATTAGGCGTGTGGAGTAAGGAAACTTGCCCAAGGTTTCGCCCTGCCTGAAATTGAACTCAGGTCTCTCACTTGCAAAGCGAGTGCTCTAACCACTGAGCTACAGGACTCCATTGTCACCTCAATAGCTTTCTCTCCATTTTGACTATTAAAATCCTGAATATTGAATATCAGAGTCGAAGATAAATTCAATCTCCACCATCCAAGAATGCTTGTAAGTGTCCTTTCTGGTTTTTCCACGTTTGACAGATTTATAATTTATGTCCAGCTGTAATGAGAACAAGTACGCAATCAATCAGAATGATTTTGTAGTCCTGGCAGATTAGTTTCCTATCTAATCTGGATCAGTCTTAAATGAATTGCAACTGAAGTTACACTGTTCATAAATATGCCTCCTTCACAGCTTAATTATCTTTAATGGAATGCTTACAGATAAGATGAAAGGAGCCCACCCCCTACATTATTAGTCTGTACTCAGCCATTCAACATCTGGCTTCAACTATTCTGCTGTTTGGCTGTTTTTTGCCATTGGCATTTGTGTTTAAGAATTGCTTCTCATTTTTGAAGTCTGTGAAGGAAAGGTCTTATTTTTTACAGACTTTTTTAAATTAAAATTATTATTGCTGATGTTTGAAGCATTTTGTCAATTAGGTCACAGTGAAGATGACCCGAGGTGCATAACAATCAGGTTTGGATAGTTGTAAGAGTTGCAGTGAATTTAAAAGCATGGTTTCCATTTCTGTAATAGAATGGGAAGATTTCATTCATATCCACAGCCTTTAGGGATAAATTCTATCTCTGAGGGCTATTCAGTGCTTGGAGCAACTGAGTTCTTGCTATATAATGTTAATAATCCTTGAATAAACATATATCCATGTTTTAAAATCCAACTTAACATATGTGCCCTTCTTTAGAATTCCTATGTTGAAGCGTTGCATTTGGAGAATGAACCTCAGGTGAAAATAGAAATGCCATGCATTCCTAGGGCTTGTTTTTTATTATTATGGGAGGTTTGTGTGTTGGTTTTGGTTTTGTTACCTAATACTCTCAGTGAAATTGATTTCAGGAGCTCCATAACTCTTAGGTAATCTATTCGATGAGGCCTATTAATCTTAGTCTAATCCTTTTACTGTGTTGCAGCTTGAAAACTACATTCAAGAGAGCATGAAGATGGAGATGGCTCAGATACAACAGAATGCCGTCCAGAACCACACAGCCACTATGTTGGAGATAGGCACCAGTCTGTTGAGTCAGACAGCAGAACAGACACGCAAACTCACAGATGTTGAAACGCAGGTATGTCGCTCGGGGGTCAAATTCTACATTCTACACAGCACATGGATTCACACTAATCCAGCCAGAATAACACTGAGTTTTAAGCAGTCTTTCCAAGCTAAATAAGTAGGCTTCAAAAATGCACTGTCAGCAGTCACACGACTGAATGATTCTTGTAAGTATATCGCCAGTGTTTTATCCAGTTAGAGAATATTTAACAACTATGTTTTAATGGTTTACAACAACCTTGGCACAGAAACACAGCTGAGAAAATGTAAATAAACAATTTCAAGATCACAAAATCCTAAATGACTTTCTGAAGTTAACAAAACATAGCTGTAGCTTTACCTTAATGGGGATCATGTTTAATTGCTCGTTGGGTTGGAAAATGCAGTATGTGATGTGATAATTACATGTGCAGGTGGTTGGGTGGGTATTGTGGAAGGAGATCAAAAGGGCTGAAGGGTTTTCGTCATCTGAAGCTTTCTAGTATTGCAGCACCTCCCAAAGTGAAAGCTGCTAAATAAATGTAATTTGTTGTTGTTGCCATGGTCTCACTGGTGTTTCTCAGCATTTTCTTCAAAGCAGCTTAAGAGCAACCATTTATATTGAACTTCACCCTTCTGTGACAACCTGAATGTGGAGCACTGACCTCACCAATTGCTCCTATTCATGATGTCACACAAGTAAAATGTGTTTTCACTTGAAAGATCTTTTAATATCTTTTAATCCCAATATCCTCTCTTTTGTCATATCCTAGTATTTATCTAATTCTCATAAATACCTCTATTGATTGCATCTCTACCACTTTCTGAGGCAGAGCATTCTACATTTCCACAACCCTAGTAATGCATCAACATGTGGAGGGGTGGGGTGAGAGAAAAAATGAAAATCATATGAAATAAAAGGGGAAATATGGGGTTTGTAATATGACGATTGTCACTAATGGTAATTATCACATCACATACTGCACATTTCCCCCCAAGATCACAAACCAATTCAAATATTCTGCTATTTTTATTTCTCAGAATTAGATGCATCAAAGTCGGTTTGCTTTTTCTGAACTCATAAAATGGTTGAACAACGCACCATGAAACTGACCTGCAATTTCCCCTCCCAGATATCAGTAACAGTAATGGTACAATCATATCACCTCTCTACGCCCAAACTTAGTGAATTGATAAACTACCACCTGCTGATAAAATTACTCATTTGGGGAAAGTCCCAACATGGGACAAGCAACAGAAACAGCATTCAGTAAATCTGTTTCAATGTCATCCTGTTACAATCAAAATGTCACAGTGGGGTCAAAAATGCAGTATTCACAAAGGAGATTGTGTCAGATAAGAATTCTTGCAGATTGGCCTGACACATCCGGTTACAGGCAGAATTCAATATTTATAAATCTTTTGTGAATCCTATTCTGACTTCTGCATTTTTAACCTCAGTGTCAAAATGGCTCACTGGGAATTACTCTCCCATATGGTCAGGAAGTTGGGTTTCAAGACCCGTAGGACTTGTCTTCATTTCTCCAGTGCCGTACAGAAATAGGTACCTATTGCTGGAGAGGACATCCTTCAAATGAATGTACAATCATGCTACTATTTCAAGAAGAGCAGTTATGCATTTATTTTGATCAGCTGAGCATTTAACATAGAAACTATTAATTGTGCTTTAACAGCCGCAAAATAAATATTTGGAAATTTATATTCGGTATGGAGTGTGAACTATCTCTTCCTAAAGGGACCTACCCTATTTACATGAGTTTAAATGCAGGTTAACGAGTTCTAAGGGCTTAGAGTGTGCATGGAGTAATGCTGTCATTTAAACAACTTGAAGTTTGCAACTTCCCATTACACGCATTGATAAGCTTCCTGCTACCTGTATAGCTAGCCAGTTAGGGCCTTGGTTTGTGGGAGTCAAATGGGAAGAATCCCAGCCCACAGTGACTGGTCTGTTCCTCCAAGTCTTGCCAATATGTCAGACTGGTTTGTCCATTATCAACAGTGTCTTGATTCAGGTACTATACTACTAACACCCCAACAGAGTGACGAAAAGTCATTGATCTGAAATATTAACTAATTTTCCTTTCTCCATGGATTCTGCCTGACCCGCCGTGTGTTCCCAGAGACTTCTGTGTTTATACACCAACAGAGGATCAACTTAATTCAACCTTGGAGACAACTCAGCCTCAAAAAGACCTGAGTTAATTCCCTCTGCCCCCCCCCACTCCCATCGACCCCAACCACCCCCACCCAAGTGGGAATGAAACATCATTTTTGAATAAATGAAGGGATCAAACTGCAGATCAAAACAATGCAAAAATACACAACAGTTTTGAGTAATTTTACCCAGATTTGTATCAATATAGATTGGGAGCCAAATGGGAAGAATCCCAGGTTGTGTCAGAATTCAAATTGTCAGAATTGCGTCACTTTGATAAACTGTCCCATTGATAGTCACAGGGATTAGAAAAAACATTTTTGCTGCTTGACCTTAACCCCTCAAAATTAGTCCAAATGATTCATCTGATGGTGTAATGGATAAAGTCACTGCTCAGTGTGAAACTGAGCCATACAAACTGGGGAGGTTTCAGGTTCCACCGTCTGAGTTGAGTTAACTGATCTCAACCAGGGGAGCAGAAAGAGAACTACAATTACGATAAGTGTTTCTGATATATGGAGTGGAATATCAGTCAAGGTTCCTCATCTATGGAGGGGAATATCAGTCAAGGTTTCTGATCCATGTCATTATCCTGCGGTCCCCCTATAAAGGGCATGCATGCTTGTGGAAGTCAGGTGAGACATGATGATACCTGGCTAAGATTTTCTCCCTCTTCCCCTCTCAGGTTTGCACTGAATATCAATGCTCACTGATTAGGGTAACCAGCATCCACACAGCCATAGACCAGTGAGATTCAATGCTTTCAAGAAAGGAGGAAAGAAAATTGTAGTGAGGATAAAAGACAATGCAAGTGTGTGAAAATCAAATGAAATTGTTGGTGCGATTTGCGAAAAATAATTTCCATAGTTTTGTATGTCTTCTTTCTTTGGTAAGTCTATGAATGTTTCAATTTCAAGTGATAGTGTAACATGTTTTTGTAATGAGTTCTTATTGACATTTGTTTATGTAAAGAAAAAGCAATAATCGTTTAATGATTTTTTTTAGGTGTTGAATCATACATCGAGACTTGAAATTCAGCTTTTGGAAAATTCTCTGTCCACAAACAAGTTGGAGAAACAGTTGCTTCTTCAAACCAATGAAATAAATAAACTGAATGAAAAGAACAGGTAACAAATAACCTTGTAATCTGTGATGGGTCAAACTGTGTACATCCTTTTGAGCTCCCAGGGTATGTAACCGGATCTAGAAATCTCTCTTCATTTACTACACAAATCTCTGAGGGAGACTAATCTGGAAGGGAAGTACATTTTTTGCTTCAAATTGAATGTACATTATTTACAATGCAGACCCAAAATTCCATCTAATCTTTAACAGTATAATTTAAGATTGTTCAATATTGTGGAAAACTCTGACTTTATTTGGAAGCTTGCTCTTTCTAAGAACTGCGGAAAAAATGGCTTCTAGTTTCACACTGAATTTAAAACTTTTTCACAGTTCTGCATGGTCTTAATGTTATGACAAAATGTTACTACATGCTAAGACTAGGTCGAATTTCAGGCTAGTGGTCTTTGAAACTTACATCTTGACTTTAAAATGTAAATGTAACAAAAACAAAAGATGTGTTTTGTAATTCACTGAGTACCTGATCTCTAGAGACTAGAAATAACAGCCCACATGATGACATTCTTCTTGCTATAAACGTTGTATAATTCCAGAAAGCTCACAATTCCTGATCAGTATTCAGTTATCGGATCTCAGTCACAGCACTACAAGAGCTATGCTCAGCTTGTTCAGAGAGGAGTAAATCATCCAAAGCTCATGCTACTGCTAATCCACTGTGACTGTTTTTTTGAGGTTCACATGTGTTAACATTGTATAAGGCCAGAATTAGTTTGGCCTGTATAAGTCTAAACCCTGAGACTTATCACTATCAAATCATTTGATAGTGGGAGCACCACAGATTTGCCCAATCCGGTTCTTGTTCAATTTCCATATATCACCATACAAAATGTAATGTTTCATAACAGACAATTATCGAACGCAAAATAAAAAAAGTTTGCATTGATTTTAATAACTTTGACTGCATTGATCTGGTTAATTGGGATCTGAAATTATTCCAATGTTTTGATGCAGAAACTTACCCCTGCTTCGGACAGATGACATGCATCACACTGATCTTAGGTAAAATGCACTTCTAATGAGATTCTTTCCTTATGAAGGAGAACATTGAAGAATCCCATTGGAAGCTGACATTTAGGACCTATATACTGATGCCTGAACAATGTTGCTGAAAGTTGAATGGTTTTAATTTCCTCACTCAGACCAGCGATGATTCTAAAAAGAATGATTGCTTTCAGTATTCTGACATATATGACTGGAAAGAATGCAAACATTATGTTGTGGTTACTCTTGTATAGCTCTTTGAAGTGACAAAAAGAATGCTGGTGGTGACAACTCAGGTGAATGTTTCCTTTCTGCCATGTGTGCTTCAAGGATGCTGACACTAAGTACATGGATAGAAATTTACAAACCACTTTGAGTGGGCAGATATATGATATTTATTGACCCAAATTATTGGAGAACCAACATGATAGCAGTATGTGGTGGGACATCAAGTTCAACTTTCCCCTATACTTAATGAAATCAATGGTGATGGAAGGGATGGGTAAGCAGAGGTCAAGTATTTCTTCTTGGTGGTGGAATCTAATTTCCGGATTTGTTTGGGTAATGATATATATTGAACGATTTGCATTAAACAGCTTTTGTTTTTGTATTGAGATCAATTTATTGCTAGCAGTGGATTCCTGTTTAGCCCCAGTGTTCAACATATTCTAAGGGTTGACATGGTTTGTGGATTCCTGCCACTTGCTTCCAAGTGTGTCACAATTCACGCTTATTTGAAAAGTTACCCAAATACAATGATCCCAGGTGAAGCACCGTCTAGTGGAATTGACAACTGTGCATTACTCCATGGCCTTCTGGAACAAGGTTGGTCCAGTTTCTAGAGAACTTAGAATCTCCTTAAGACAGCAATTGGTGAATCCATTAATTGCGTCTTAAACAGTAGGGCCAAGTTTATCTGTTGCTTAAAGAACATAGCAAAAATAAATCTCAATTATATGTCATTCTGACCAATTATGAGACAAATGCTTTCGCATTTTGTGCCTAATAATTAGGCGTGCATTGACCTCCAATTTTCTACAGCAACAGCCATTAAAAATTAGTTGATTAATTGTACTACCACTTTAACTTACATTTCTTGTCAGTTGCAGTTACTTTCCTGCCATTTTTCTGTAATATTTTACACTGAGCAGGCAAGATTTTGGCTGCTCTTTATTATTAGTGGGCTCTAGTCCATGAACTCGCATTTAGAACACAGAAGCTTTGCAAGATTTCCACGACAGTCAACACTCACATAACTAGGTGGTTGGTTGGTTGGTAGGTAGGTGGATGGGTGGGTAGTACAAGTGGTGGTGAAATAGTAATATATAGAGAGCCACAAATTATGGGCTACAATTTGCCAGAAAAATTGGGTACCATATTTAAGTTAATCTTGTTCTCCCACCAGAATAGTATACCCATGTGTTGCCTACGCATTATGATGTAAAATACTACTAGGGTTTACTTTGACTTTTGCTTCCTCTAGTTTTCTCATCTCTTAAAGTACTACCTATTTTGAGGTGCATTTCTTTGAGTGTCTGCTGTCCTCTTGAAACTTGCTCCAGAGGCCATTCTTTATATTGTATGGGATTCTCATTAGGCTTTTTTTTGGTGTCTGACACACGCAGAAACTGATCGCTATGCCTAAAAATATCCAAATCAAACAATTAAGAATTTTACATATATATGCAAATTTATATTTGTTTGGCAGAGATTTTAAGCGTAGGGTGGCAAAACCAATTGCTTGGGAATACTAGAGCCTGCAGTGGGGCTATTACTGGAGCTGAACCAACTAAACCATTGCAAAGCTTCACGCTGCCTGTCCAGCTTGGACCACACTGCCATTGGTTCTTTGGTTTACAGGCTTAACAGCCTCCACTAAATTTGTCCATTCCTCCAAGATCTGTTAACACAAAATATACGGTTTACAACATATTCAGTGATATATTTTGAGATGTCTCAATGATATGATAATGTACTATGTCAAATGCAACGATTTATGTTTAACATACTGCCAGACTTCCTTTTTGGTTTACATTGCCCCGCTCAAAAACCAAACTACTCAGACCACCAGAGGATTTCATTAATTCTGATATTTCATTGCCAGGCATGTCACTTTGAAGTCAGCTCAGTCCAAGGAAGTGAGTCACTAGTTCGTGATATGATTAACAATACTTAACATATGGCTATGACATTAAAGAAATGCTTACTGCCCAGTTTAATTCTGTAAACACATGCCCATTAGATAGCAAGAACAGGAAACCTGGTTATGTTTTCTTGATAACCTAAGGACTTTAGGTCAATGCCAATTCTCTCTGTACTGCACTGACCAAGAACAACAAACTCAGCACATGCTAAGCATCAAATACAAAACCTTTCTACTCAGTGGATCATCACTAATGCAGTTACTCACTGAGCTATTGGGGCACTCTGAACAATATTTAACAAATCTTATATCATGATCTTCGAATCATTATTGAGAAGACAATGAAGGATGCTTCACAGTTATCAATCATATACATGTGCATATGGTGTATCATAAACATTTTTCTCAAAAATTCTTCTAAAACTTAATATCTTCAACTCTCCCCCTTCTCCCCACCTTGCTCACTTTTCCACATAGTCCCTGTAAAGTGCTTTGGGGCCTTATCCTATGTGAAAGGTATATTATAAATGCAACATGTTGAAGTTTGTTGTCCATTTGCTCTCAGGAGGACTATGAAGCAGTTGCAATAAAACAAATCAATATATATCACCACCCAACAATGATGGACAGATTGTTAACACAAGCTAAGGGTTGGAACTGGGATGTTTTGGGGTGAAAGCATTATGTTACACTATTATCTTAAAAATTTTCAAGCCAATAATAATTTTAACAAATTATACCAAGTAGTTTCAGAATCAAAGAGCATTTCCTACCTATATTGGGCATTTGGGACTTTCATCCAAATGAAGTGATGACTGTTCAGAATGAGTGAACCAGCTTAGATCAGAAGTTCATTTCAGTTCATCCAAACTAGGGTGGATTTATTGACTCTGGATCCTAAACAAAAATGGAAAATCCAGTTATTTTGAATTATTTCAGTTCAGAATGAGGAATATATGTCAGTTATGTCAGTTATTATGATTCTATGAGGAAGTAAGATACACCACTCTGTGGATGTATTCCAAATTGTTTAATTCAGTCCCATAGCAAGTACACTTCTGGAATTCATCTCCCAATATCTTCCCTGAACTCAGTCAATGGTCAGGCTTTTATATCCTGATTCGAATCAATTCCATCAGGTGATTAACACCTGATCTCAATATACCTAATAATAATGATATTTTCATTTAATATAACACCTTATCATCGTTGCTACATCTCAAAGCGCTTCACAGAATATATTGTAAAGTGGATTGATTGTATTTTGTGGGCAAAATATGGCAGGCAAATGCACACAGCAGTGTCCCACAAACTGTCGTAGATTGAGTGCCCAAATTTATTATATATATTTTTTGGAGAGATTATTACCTCTGAAAAATGATCTGCCAATCGACTGACAACTGGGTTCCTACTTACTGTTAGTAAACAGCGGCATGTGCAGTAAGGAAACTTGCCTAAGGTTCCCCCCCTCGGAATTGAACCCAGGTCTGCTCGCTTGCGAAGTGAGCATGCTAACCGCTATGCTGCCAAATGAGTAACTAACATGAGTAACTGCTGAATTTAGGGGTAATAATAATTTACGTTGGGGGAGGACATCTCAAATCACTTCATAGGATTCAGTGTAAAGTATAGTGACTGTGTATTGTGTAGGCAAACAGGCTCATGTTTGCCTATAACAAGGTATTTTGATGTGGCATTGGACAATATCAAACGCTGGGATTATTATTATTTATGTGACAAGTTTGGCCTGTTTTCACTTCCTTTGTTCGTTTGACAGGAAGATCACATTTTCTTTCATTAAGTAAAAATTGTACTTTTCAAAAATAATAAACAAATCTGAGCTGGAGCTAAACTGTTTGA